ATCCAAAAATAAGATTTTATTTGACTATAGCCTCATTAAAATCTGTCTGGCCAATTTTGAGAAATATTAAATTTAACATCAAAATCACCCCAAAAATCGGCAAAATGCTACCAAGCCAACAATGGTTCGCACTTCCATCATTCTTTCTGTCGATCCCTGCGGCTTACCTTTTCACTTAACAGTAAAACGTATGAGACGAAAATTCACGATCGAAAATTAAGCTTCCGAACGATATGTTCAAAATTTTCGTGCGCTGTTCCAGTCAAGAACGACAGCAAGCTGAATAATATGCGACATTTACGCTTATTCTTCGTGTCTTGTTTTAAATTTCTAATGCAGTTAGTGTTGATTGAAACATGGTAATGTAAGCGAGCCGATTGTGCACCGTTCTTTAAGCTACCTAACAAGCTTTTAATGAATGGCATAAGATATCCTAATCACAACTTCTACCGGTTTAAAATCAAAGCTGCACAGTTTGTTTAGAAATGGGCGTGGCTACGACAATCCTGGGTAGAAAGAAGGCGTGGCTTTTAACAATGGTACCAACCTTTGCAAACAAACTCGATTCATGTTTTTGGATAAATTGAGTGATGTTCTCTCTTTACTTTTATGTTCAACCCACCTCTATTAACCCCTTCCTTGCGTTTTCGTGTGCGCTTCAGAGATGGTTAAATGACATGTGTTTGAATAATTGTAACTACGAGTAAAAGTTGGCATTTGCCGGGGAATGCCCACAGAGCAGTTTCTATAAGGCGCATGCCTTGTTGTTGGTTTTGTTATTGTAGTGACTTCAGAACAAAGAGGTTTAACGAACCATCAAGTTTTGATGACTTCCCTCTCTTCTGAATTTTTAACGGTCGATCTATTGAAGTGATTAATTGAATGATCAATTCCTCGTGTGCACACGATTGTTCGTTAAAACTTCAGGGGCCGATTAACGCGTTAGCGTTAGAATTTTTAAACTTTCAATTCCTCTCTTATAGGAATTCCCTGTAAAAGTGTCTTTAAAAGCTTACTGACACTCGAGGCGACATCTCTGTTTAGTTACTTAAATTGTGCTCAAATATTGGCGGGCATTTGACAAATAGGGTTATTCGATACCCCCTATGTAAAACCGCTCACCGCCTCGGCGGCTGCGGACAAACGCTCAGCTCACTCCCCGCCTGCGGACAACCGAAAGAGACGGAAATTCTCTTTCGAATGATACCAATATTACGTTTTCGGTGAAAAAGCGACTTAAGCGGTTATCCGGAGCGCCAAGCGAGGTAAGCGGTTGTCCGCAGGCGGGGAGTGAGCTGAGCGTTTTCTCAGAGCCATCGAGGCGGTGAGCGGTTTTACATAGGGGGTATCGTTATCCACATACTTCAAGCATACATGTGTTAACCACACTAATAAACTAAGTCAGGCAAATTTTGATAAAGGGACGAATGTCCACATTTTTGCTAAATTGAGGTTTTAATATCATCTGGAACATAATTTTATTCCACATATGTAGAACCGAGAACAAAACGGCACATTCATATCTATCAATCTATCATAGTTCCAGAGTTACACACATTGCATAAAAGGACGTATGTCCATGAGTGATATGACAAAACGACGAATGTTCATAGTATTTTCAACAAACGATCAAACAATTTGACAAAGAGACGAATGTCCATGAGTCAAATGGTCAAATTGGCGAATGTCCCAATAAAAATTTGACAAAAGGGCGAATGTCCATATGTCAATTAGTCTACATGGCGAATGTCCATATGTCAATTAGTCTACATGGCGAATGTCCCAATTAAATTTGACAAGATATTCGCCACTTTGTCAAAGCAGTTGTGGAAGTTCGCCTCTTTGTCAAATTGTTCAGGGATATATTCGCCAATTTGACCAATTAGGATGTGGACATTCGCCCTTTTGTCAAAATTTATACCAGGCAAAAACTGGCGAATGTCCCTTATCTCCCATTCTATTCAAAATAATGACACAAGCTAAAAAGCAAAATGTAATTCAATCATAAAGAATTATTTAAGATAACTATCAAAGGTGTGGCTTCAAACCGCTATCTTGCAGGTCAAAAAAGAACCTTATTTCCCCTCTCCAGAAAACTTAGCGGGTTTGGACATTCGTCCCTTTATCAAAATTTGCCTGAAGTGTGCAACTGCTTCATACTTGTTAGTATGCAACTGCAAGTTGACTTTAAACTTTAAAGTTTAAAGTACGTTCAAGCATTTAGCTCTGTATCTGTTAATTTTTAAGTGTTGAACTCGGTCACATGAAAAACCAATGTAACATGTGTCACATTTGATTGGCGTGCGACCAGTTTTGCTTATACCACTCCCCTGACCAAAAATACGGTCACACCGCACATACGGCATGCTAAGGAAGTCACACTTATAATGTTATATATGTCACATTAGGTTTTTGATGTGCATTTGTAAGTAGAACTCCTTTGTTTATCACTTCCTTAGATTGGACGCTTACTACTGTGTGGAAAGTGTTTAACAGGGACGTTTAGCTCCGGTATGTTTCAGACACCAACTGGGATGTACTTTTTCGTACATCTTTTGTGGAGTGGTCATGCGTGCGCAATTACGCATGAAAAACGAGCTTAAGTATGTCCAGATTCGCACAGAAATGTATTAAATTTTGCGCACTATTAAATATAGATGTAAAGTTTTTTTCTTCCATCCATGAAATTCTACACATTCATGTCTGATTCCGTGCATGATTCCAAACGCACGAATCACTCCATACGATGTGTACAATAACGTACTTTCCCAGTTAGTGTGAACTACGGAGTTCAACACTTCCATGTGTACAGCTAAGTAGTTGCTAAACGCATCGGCGGCTGGTCTTCTCTTGCCCACAGGTTCCTCTTATCAGCCTTGATAGCCAGCCCGACTTCCCTTGGATGCACGACCGTGTCGGAGCCATCAACAACCCTTCTTATCTGTTCAGCACCAACGTGTACCACGTTGGCCCAATGAACCTATGGCAACGCGTGCGCAACACGTATCAGCTGCTGGCGGCACAGTACCTGTTCAAGGTGTGTATCACTGACTCGAATCACGCCGGCGAATCAAGTCAGACTTTGCACGATAACGTCTTTGGACACATGCAATTTCTTTATCGGCGGTACTGCCTAGAATGCATATGCTGCGGCCGCTGCGGCCCAAAATCCTATAGTATTAATTCCAGTGCTTCCGGCCACCGTCGCTAACTGATAAATGAAGTGTCTAGCGGGCTCATACAAGCCCTCAACACTATGTTGCATTGCACACTTCTAAGGGTTTTACTGGATATCTGAATACTATCAAGTGCTCAATAGAGATGAGCGAACAGGCCAATTCAAATTTGAACGAACTCGAACGAATTTGGTAAAAAAATCTTCGAACGAACACGAACATCCTTTCAGCGTTATTTTTCTTCGAACGAACCGAAGCAAACAATGCAATGTTCAAATTCGATCCGATCTCGAACAATTGATATTTATGTTAATAATATTTGGTTTTTGCGTACGAGTTAAAATGACTTTCTACGCTGGTTAACAATAATTACATTAAAGTTTAAAATTTTAGTTATCTGTTAACCTGCTATTGCCCCCTTAATTACACCCAAATCGCTCGTCCCCTCAAGAAAGCACGTATCTCTTGCATGCGTTTCAGAAAGTACGCACTCTCTGGGTACGATTTAGAAAACACGCAACTCTTGGGCACGTGTCAGAAACTACGTAAGTCGATTTTTTTTCACAAGTCGAGATTTTTTGCTCTTTTGATAAAGGATTTGATTTTAAACGGAATAAGCTAAAAATCTCGACTTGTGAAAAAAATTGACTTGCGTAGTTTCTGACACGTGCCAAAGAGTTGAGTGCTTTCTAAATCGTACCCAGCGAGTGCGTACTTTCTGAAACGCATGCAATAGATACGTGCTTACAAGAGGGGGCGAGCGAAATATGACACGTCTTTCTGAAACACACTTGAAATTTGTTTGCCGACGAACCTTTGTTTGAGCATGTTAGTATGACTGTACTGGAGTAGCAACTAAGTACGTTGAAATGTGCGCCGCGCTGGCTGGCAAAGCTATCTCCTCTTAAGCCAACGTGTTGAGAAATCTCACCTACTGAATTCTTGAAAGCCTATGGTATACTGAAACTAATGATGCCCGTGTGTTGAGTGTACCATCATTCAAACCGGAGCTACGACGCCTGGAACGCCACAGACCCGTTTTCTGCCATCTGCCACCCGTGAATGTAGAAAGAGACAGACAGAGTGAGGGTCGTGTTTCTTCGAAAGGGACCACTGAATTACAAGTTTTTACTTCAAATCCCTCTTTTTGTACACAACCGTGAAGCCCCTGAATGTCGCAGTCTCAAACTGTTATTCTTTTATGGGCATTCATGACCCTCATTCTGTCTGTCTCTTTCTCCGGTGGTAGGAATCAGAACGAGTAGATAATTTAGATTTAGTTTCTGGACGAACCATGTTAATATGATACCGAAAATCTGGAAAAAACAGGTCGTATGCCTTGTCAGGGTTATCTTTTTAAAGTACATTGGTCGAGTCTTCAGATTAAAGATAAGTTTTTAGTTGAGTTAGGTTGCTCTCATTCAGTTTTCTCTCGTAGACAAATTTTGGAGCTGTCGGTTCTTATTAAAATTGAGACCCACTCATAGAATATTGCATATTTAGAGACCAGTTTTTTGTTCAATGTTAAAGAGCTGTTAGAGAAAATATTGTCAATAACAGAGTCTTTTCGAGTGAGGTGACTCTCCCTAGTAGTTTCTGAGAAGAGGGGAGATAGTCCAGCTACTTTCATAACTTTTAGTAGTTCTCCCGAAGAAGTTCAGGCTGATACAAGATTTACATTAAAATCTTCAGTGACAATAAGGTCATTTATAAGCGGATTTGCCAATAAAAGAGCTTCAAGCAAATTTTTTTTCCGGGGGTATCGACTTTTCGATTCTGACAACAAAGCCGCACAGGTAACAGGATTAGTTGCGACAACCAACGAGGTGGTCGTTGCAATCAGAACCGCTCATAGGAGGAATCTAACTTTACTTGTTCTGAAAACTCAACAGTGTACATTGTATGCTGTCATATCAGCAATCATTGATGATCACTGATATATCAGTGTACAATTGCTAATATATCAGCAATCATCTATGATCACGTTAAGGTCTTTGGCTAGAATTTCCTTTCAGATGGATAACATTGGAAAGTGGATAGCATATTTCCAGATTCCGCGTGAAAAGAGCTTTTAAACAAGCTACAGCACGGAAAAAAAATAATAGCCGAGTTAGCAAATGCATTAGCTCTTCTAGCTTACTCTTTGCTAGAATTAGCTGGGAGAGCTAATATTCTATTCTAAGGCCATATTAGTGAATGTATTGGCTAATTTAGCTAATTCTTTTTTATCCGTGTGTGTGATAGAGCCCGTTATCGAAATGGGCCGTCTTTCGAAAATGTCGGTAATGTTAACCTAGATATGGTATTGGTCAATTTGAACCCTAGCTTGTTCGAAGGCTCTTTTCACGGGGAATCTGGAAATGCTTTTTACTTTCCAATTTTATCTGTCTTAAAGGAAATATTAGCAAAAAAAAAACAAACAAAAAAGAACATACAACAGAACATTGATGGTTGCTGACGTATCAGCATGCAGTGCAATGCACAATGAACACTGTCGAGTTCTCTGAGGGGTTGCGGGGAATAGGAGCCGTTTTGCATCTCGTTGCTGCAGCTACAATGTAAAAATAAATAAAAAAATATCATGATTCTACGAAATTTCCTCGGTTAATTTTCCATTACGAAACTTTCGTTTTTAACACATAGTGATATATCGTTATTTTATGAATTGCTTTATAAAATCCAAAACTCTATGTAATTTTACGTATATGTGCAGGTCCATATCCAGGACCCAAGCGACGAGGTAGTTCGGGAATTTTTTGGCGCAGACACGCCGCCCATCTCAGAAATGCTAAGGAGCACCAGCCTCGTCATGATCAACGGTCACGTGAGCTTTACTCTGGCCAGGCC